TATTTCCAGAAGACTAATTTACAGCTCTGTGACTTTATGACTCTTGAATGACATCGTGATGTGGTAGAAGAGCAAGGAAGCTGTGGAAACTGTGTGTCCTACCATAATCCAACGAGGAAGGCTGCACTGCCCATGGCTCCAGCCTGCTGGGATAGATGTTGTACATAAAAGATGATGGGAATAGGGAACTTTAACATATTCATCAAGGCAATGCTTGTGTTTCTGGGAAGGTACCAATGTGATGTTTTGGGGCAGATTTCATACACAAACTGCAGTAAAAATTCTCCTACTGCTTTGGGCATATTTATAGCTGTCCCAGTGTTGTGACAGCATTGTAGATAGCTACTTCTTGTGCCAAAAGCAGCCTAGATACAGCAGCAATTATTGCAATTCAGGCTAAGTCCTAAATATTTATTGGCTTCCTGGGTAGATTTTATAGCCTTCACTGAGCTCATGGCTGGGCTGCTGTCAGTATGACAGATAAACAGGTTAAAGATAGCTCAGGTGTGTCTGCGCTTCACTCAGGACACTGACAGTGGCATAAAAGCATCGTTTAGCGTTCCTAGAGTTTGCATCACTTCAGGGCAGGTGCCATCTGTCAGCCACATACAAACCAGAAACAAAGCTAGTAAAAAAAATATGTGTTTGAAAAGCCAGGGAAATACAAAGCAGCTGCCTTCACGTTTCTCAAAGGTAGGCCATTTTTACCCAGAAAGTGGTGTTTGCTTTCTAAGACTGTACCACATGGACAAACTTTCCAGTATGTTTCTGGAACATGAGGAAGAGTCTGCCCCAGTCACTAGAAGACAATAAACTACTCGCAGACAGTGCGATCTGCAGGGAAGAGTCAGGATTTTGACATGGTAGCAGAAGCAGTACAGGCTGGGCAGGAGTTTGAAGACCAGTACAGCAAAAATTATAACTGAACTGTTAAAGTACTTCCTGTGCAACTCCAGCCATCCCACTTTACTTTTCTGTACTTATTCTATTAAACCTCCCAGCTCCTTAGTGTACTACTGTTTTAAAGTCACTTCAGAATTTGTTATTAGCTGCTTTGCAGTAGAAGAGCAAAGTGTTATGTTCAGCTGTAAGTGAACACAGTTAACATGCAGATTGCAATCTCTCTCCATCCTTAAGCACGTGCTATGACCAAGTTTGTTCCACTGCAAGAGCATGGTAGGGTGCCCTGCTCCCTGCCCTGTGCTGTGGGGTCAGATTTAAACTCTCTGTGATTTGCTTCATTTGTTACTGGAACTCGAGATACAGTAATTTGTGGTAGCAACCAAAGTAGCAGTTGTGGATTCTAGTTTTCACTCATTCTGACTGATACCTTCCTCCTTTTCTTTCTTTCTTCATCATGCAGCGTTGAGCACTATTTACTCAGCTGTGGCCTGGAGACAGGAAGGAGCAATGTGGTCATACACCAAAACTGCCCTTGTTTATTCCAAGCAGCTCTTGGCAGACAATATGGTGCATGGGCAAATGTAATTTTCTGCATGGTTGTCACTGACCTTGCTGTAGGAAATAGGAAAACAGTCATCACAGCAAACTGTAGACACCTCCTAAGGTCAGTGGTGATCCTCCATCCTGTGCAATAGGTACCCATCTGTAGTCTGATAAATGGATATGATTTATTGGTCAGGCGCCTGGGCTGTCTACAGGCTGACTTGTGTTACGGCCTAAAAACGTCTGCCTGCATACTTCAGTGACTAATTTGGTGCCATTTTTACAGGCAGAGGAAGCAATGTGCTTCTTTCTTTAGAGAAGGAACGTCTCTGCACCAATTCAGCTTTGTGTGTGGTTCCCATCTAAATAGTCCATTTGCTCAAAGACTGAAACTGTCGTTTATTGACAATGAACTGCAGCCTCCAGTGTGCTGGCTGGAGAGGATCTCTGGCACCTTTTCCGAAAAGCTTTTTGAGCAGACTTGCTTTTGCTCTGAGTTGTTTCATTGTTTTGTGAGGGAAGAGTAAAGATGATGTTGTGACTTAGTATGAAGAGGGAGGAGAAAAAGCACAAATTAGAGTAAGTTTTAACAGTGTGTTATTTCCAGCAAGTGAGAGATCTCTATTTATGCCTCAGAACTAATGTATGCTTAGGGCCCAGTTACCCGCTCAAGCTGCTTTTGTCTAGCAACTTGACAGGGACTGTGAACAAGGTGCAGCTTTCTCAGGATACCTCATCCTTCAAAAAACCCTTAAACTCCTTCACCTTCAGGGGGAGAAAAGAGGCAGCTAAGACTCAGAATTAATGAAAAGGGGCTTCGCTGATGAAAGTGGGCAGATTATCCTCCTAGAACCTGTCTGCTCTGAATGCATGAGGGATCCTTTGTACACTGCTGGACATCACTCTGTGAAAATCTGAAGGAGATCAAAGCAGAGCAACAGCTATGACTGGGCTAGGTATAGAGGGATGTAGAGGGTAAGATAAACAGATTTAACTTAGTTATCAGTTAAATAGATTGAATAAGATACACTATGAAGAAAGGGTTATTAAAATTACCTGCTCACAAATGAAAGGAAAAAATAATGGAGAGCAAGAGGTATAAGGATGCATAAACAGGAAATTAAACTTAAGCAAACAAAAAATGTAAATATATATTGCATAAAACTTCCAAAAAGCGTGACTCCTTCAGACCAACATGTAGACTTTTTAGACAAAGATCAGAAGTTTAATACCCAGCATTATTCAAAGCTAGATTTAGAAAGCCTTGCAGAGTAGTTGTAAGAGGTCCATACTGTCCTCTTCAATTATGAGAATGTGTCTATTTCAAAAGAGCCTTTTTATGCCAAACTTCTCTGTTTTCCTGTAACCTGCTTCCTATGCTGAGCTTGGTGAAGGTGATTTTACGAAACTTGCATGTACCTTACATGACCAAATAGATTTCTGAAAAACTTAGGACCAAAATCTCTATTGCTGTAAATGACTGTTGATCTAATAAAATAACAGAGAAAATTTTATTTCCTATATGTAGTGTCATGAAAGAGAAATAGTGAGCTGAAAATTCAACTAAAAATATGCAATGTCTTGCTCATGTAACTAGGACTTTTTCAATAATATTCTTTTGCAGTTATACATAAGACTTGGTGATAGTTTCCTTGATGCCATTCAAGGAACTGATTAGCTAACACTGCAGGAGAAAACCCCACCATTCCACTGGATACCTTCATTAACCCAAGCTCAGACAGACACTGACTCAAAGATCAAGGTAGTATCTGCAATAGAGAGCAGCCTCTGATTTGTGTTTCAGTAAGAAATGACAATACAAAAAAGTTACAGTGCCCTCCATACTCTCCCAGACATCTGTAATTTCAGTGCAGTCACAGAAGTTTAATTCAGCTCAGCATTCAAGTTCTGGAAAAAGAGAAATGCTAATGTATTTATCCCTACAGTAAAATAGGTTGTGCAAATCCCTGCAATGGTATTGTGGTTCTGTGCAGGCTGGGACTTCCTTGTGTTATAGCACATTTCTGACTGCAAAGTTGGCTTTTCCAGACAGAGCAAAATCACCTTTTCATAGCATGACCCTAAACCTAAGGTGCTTCATTAGACAGAAAGTCCTCCCAAGGGGAATGCAAAGTGTAGTACTCTAGAGAGTGTCTGTAATGGATGTCAAAGAGTCTGACAAGGGTGTTTTTCAGCTATAGAGTTTCCTGAACTGTAGAGAAAAATAGTAGCTCTTTCCTCTCTTCTCTTTCCTCTGCTTCCCTGGCTAATAATGTAGGTAAATGAAAAGTCTGTAACTTGATTTTGGTGACAGTCCTCCTGCAGTATTTCTTTAGTCAACACTGACACTATTAATTTGGCTGGGTTGGATGTCACAGTGAAATGTCCCTTTGATACTGCTTACCGTTGAAACATCTGACAAAGAAAGGCGTAGCTTTGTCGTTCTCTTGCTTTTGTTGAACTACCAGGCTTTGAGGAGTTGTGGACATACGGAGAAGTCGTGGCTATCATCTGGGACAAGGTTGATTATTTGGATGGGAGCCTAAGGAAGGCCAAGAAGTGTCTGTGATAAAAGAACTCATGCTCTGCCTCGGTTCTAATGCCTGTGCCCTTTGGATCCCCTTCCTGACTACTGCTTGGCTTTACTTCCACCCCTGGCTCTTTCTTCCATACTTTGCATACTTCTGTATATAGAAGTACTGCAAAATTGCTGCTGTTCAGCTTGTCTTCTTAACTCCACTCCACAGCCTCTTGGACTGTGAACATACAATCATGTAGGGCTTTTTGACATCAGTATGTTTCCATTCCCATGGGATCCTATAAGCTTCCCTAAGAGTCACCTCTTTTAGACTCCTTCTGCTGAACAACAGAGGCCTTTCTTGACCAGTCCTTCACAAAGCTGCTATCTAAAACATGAATAATTTGATTGGTTTTCTTGTGGGTTTTGGATTTTCAGTCTGTGCTTCCTATAATACAGTGACCAGATCTGTACACGTTATTCCAAGAGACCATCCAGCTGCCTTACCAAATGCCAAAGTAATAACTTCTGTGGTTTATACTCTGTAGCGTTCCACACACAACCCAAAAACCTTGTTTGCCTTTGTTACTGCTGCCAGATGTTCTGTGGATGGTTTTCAGGCGTATTGTGGTGAATGTCACCATGCCAGTGAATCTCAGCAAGTTTAAGCAACTATGAAATTACTCCTTTTTCCACATGGTTATATTAAGTCAAACCAAACTGTGTTCTCACTTCAAACTGCCCTGTTTTGGTTACCTCTTTTTCACACTGAATCACTACCTGTAACCAGTTTCTTTGCAGGAGCCTCTTCAATAGGATTTCCCCCTTGTCAGGCCTCTTTCTGATTGTCTTTGCTGGAAACTCCATCTGAAGAGCCCAGCTCTGAGGGCCTAGGGAGCAGTTATATTGTCATTAGTAGCCAGTTTAGTTGAATTGAGAGTAGAAGGGAAAATGAGGTTTTTTTCCTAGAGAGGAAGCAAGGAGAGGGAACAGCCTGTAAAAGAATTATGATGTTCTCACCTCTCTCTTCCTGCAGATTTGCTGACAGCACAGGAATACCACTGCCTGCTGCAGCTGCTCTGCCCTGACTTCCCGATGGAGCTCACTCAGAAAGCGGCAAGGTGAGTCCTCATCCTCTCTTTTAAGGCAAGATCAGTCCTGCACACGCGGACTTAGAAACTAGATCTATGGGTAAAGGTATGAACAGGGACCTTCAGTTCTGAAGATTTTGGGGAAAAGAGATACTGTGTTTTGAGGTTAAGAACAGGGTGTTTATCTAGCAATGAGAGTGTATATTTAAGGTATACAGCAACTGAAATATCAGTGCAGAATGCTGCTGCTGGCTCTACATTCAGAAGATGAGTTGCATATAGAAGAACGTTAGCCAGTGTGGTTTTAACTGACATGATTTCAAACTCTATTTCAAATCCTGTTTACCGTCTTTAAAATGTGTTCCACCTCACCCCAGCTTCCTATGCTTGATTATGTTTTAAAGGTACTAACTTATGAAGGATTGCCAGTGTTTTAAAATGTGCTAGCTAAGAATAAGGTAGCTAATCTGTTTAAAATTTTATTTCAATCTAGACAAGGTCTAAAGCAGATAGATGGCTCAGGGCACTGATAATGTGATATGGATTTTTTAACTGATAGTGCTTGCTGGTTCTAGTCCAGCCCAGGCAGTTGATTATTAACTATCTGATAGTGAAAATGTAATGAGGTATATGCATCTGTTGGGGTAGGGGGTCAGTTCAGATCTCTGTAGGAGTGTGCATGGACACACACACATATACATAATCACAGCAAGGATACTGGGTCAATGCTCTCATTCCTACCCATCTCAGCAGAGAAGGCATGGAAATTTAACTTTTTTCATGGACATAGATGTGACATTTGGAAACAGGATCCAGACACATGATCAGGATTTTAGCTGCTGCCTATGTTGTTCATGGCCCAAATATTGAAAAGCTCCTCATTTTCTATTTCTCATCCTGGTATCTTTCTTTAGTATCAGAGTCCCATGAAAATTATATCAAGAAAGGAAAAGCGGAAAAGAAAAGTGCTATCCATCTGCTAGTATTTCCACATGACTGATTCTCTGAATTCTTCCCTGGCTCCTATGTGCTGCTGTCCGAACTGAACTGTAGTTAAAGCTGTGTTGGTTCAATTAAGACTAAAAGTTGAACACCACTTTTCACCTCTAGCTCATCAGTGGGCCTTTGGGGCTCCACAGAGTACAGTTGCTTGGCCTCCAATGCCAGACTAAGAAAGAATGCTAACCCTGTAGCAGGGATATGTCTGCTGCTTCCTTTCTTGGAGGTATACAGGCACCAGTCCCGTGCGCTGGTGTGTATTTCATAGGGTTCCAGCTGAGCTGAGCAGGAATTTGTGACAGTGCATGAAAGGAGACTTCAGCACATCTACACATGTTATGATGTTTGTGTCAAGGAATTTAATCCACAAGGCTCTTGTAAACTAGAGGCCCCATTCAGGGGCCTGCTGCACTGTTGTTCCTGTGCCGTAGAGACGGACAAGGCAGCTTTGGGAGCAGGTGTTGGAGAGAAATGAGATCTCTCAGAGGCACCCAGGCTCAGGTGGGGATGACCTCACCGCTACTTCTGGCTGGCTAGAGATTGACTTACACGTTGCTATTATGCTGTTACAAGCTAATCTAGTTGAATAATTTTAATAAAACTTGTCATATTTCTAAACCTTTCTTTCTCTTTCCTTTCAACTGTTGCTCGTTCTCTCGACCTTTTTCTGGTCCGCACTTCCCATGGTCCTCCTTGGCTTCTGCCAGTTGGAAAGGTGAACTCTGCAGGCTGTCTTCTGGCACCAGTTGATTGAGTCCTTGCAAAGCATGAAATGTCACATTCAAACCTACTGACATTGTTCCTCCTTCAGTCTGCACACCCCAATGGTTTTGTTGCTAATTTGCTTGGGAAGGGAATCAAATAAAGTAGCAGCGGGAGTAGCCACAGCATTCACAATACAGCCAGGACCTGCGTAATTATTGGCGCTCTAGGGAAGAGAGCAGTCGTTGTCGTAGTCCCAGTGCTGCATGACTGAGATGAGCTCACAGCACGGTGCACTTCACTCATCCAGGAGCTGTTGCTATGCACTGATAACAAACACTGGGAGTACGATCAGGAAATGTCAGAGCAGAACAGAGGCTACAACAATATAGGTTTTATTTGCAGGACACTAGAGCGCTCCATTTTCCTGTTCCTGGTGCTACACAAATGCAGAATTCCTACCCAAAAAAGAACCAGGCTATCTGTGTCTGTGAGATTTCTTGGATGTTTTTTCTTCAAAGGGTTATAGCCATTAGCAGATCAAATCTACAGATACCTTTGATCTTCAGAGACACCTTTTGGCTTTTTGAATCTTGAAATTGCAGACAGATGGAAAATGAAGGGATTTTTCTGGTTTGATGCCATGATTTCAAGATCTCTACCTGAGCACTGACTTTTCTCTTGTGACAGAAACATAAGGAACTCGCTGCCCACACTTGAGTAGTGAGAGCTGAGTAGTTCACAGCTCCTGTGCTGTTTTATGTAGTATGTTGCACTTATCAGGGCTAATGGAAGTGGGACTTGCAAATCTGTACCCCTCTTAAAAGATTGCCTGAGAGTGCAGATCTTGTCCTTTTTGCATGTTCCACTTATTTTTCCCTCCATGTATCAGTAAACAAACCAAGTCCCTGAAGGCTCATTTGAGCCAGCCTGGCCTTAAGACAGATTGTGTCAGTTAGCCTTTAATGGTAGCAAAGAACAGTAAAAGTCCTTTCAACTTGACTGGTCTAGAGTTTGTCCTAGGGACATTCTGTCTGGTTTGGGTTTCTGAGATTTTAACCACAATCAGTAGATCATAAAGTTTCCCCATTGGCACAGCAGCAGGGCTTTCCTGCCAGCCAAACCTACTTGAACCCTGAAAGACCACTACACCCTTTATGAGATTCCCTCAAGTGTAGGCATCTTTCTTCAGTCCTTTCCAAAGTTACTCCTTGATTTTCATTATTCATTGAGTCCCGACTACTAACTTTGTAAATAAGTCTGCGTCCCTGAGGGCTTAAAGTCTAATTTGGACAAGAATGAATAAAGGATCACTTGAAATATCAGTTACCTGATGAACTCTTTTGAGTTGCAGTTCAGACTTAAGATTTCCTCCTCAAATTTGGTCCTGCTGTCTGGGTTACAGTCATAGAATCACAGAATGGTTTGGGTTGGAAGGGACCTTAAAGATCATCCAGTCCAACCCCCTGCCATGGG